TACTACTACTACTACTACTACTACTACTACTACTACTACTAGTACTACTACTAGTACTACGACTAACTACTACTACTACTACTACTACTACTACTACTACTACTACTACTACTACTACTACTACTACTACTACTACTACTACTACTACTACTACTACTTACTACTACTACTACTACTACTACTACTACTACTACTACTACTACTACTACTACTACTACTACTACTACTACTACTACTACTACTACTCACCCTTGCGACGCCTCGGCGCCATCGGCGTGGAAAACATCGGGCTCAACATCGATCCGTATCGCCGATGCGTCGGCGATGCGGCGCGATCCTCGGACCCCACTTGGGAGGCATGGAATCGGTATACAAGTTTCGTTACGAAGATAAAGGGAAAGCCCGCGGCAGGCCTGCGGCGGGGCCAGCCAAGTCTCCGCGGCAAGACGTCCCTTCGCGCCGCAGCCAGGCCTGCCCTGCTTGGGGATGCTGACCGGGCCGCAGGGCGGCGGCGGCGATGGCGCGGCGTCAATCCGCATCCGCAAGGCCTTCACTCCCACCGTCGCAGGACCCCGGCACCCCGTCGAGCTCCTCTGGCAAAAGACGCTGCGGCCAAAAACGCCGATGCGTTCGGAGTGGGTCGACGCTGACGGATTGAAGCTTGGGTCACCTAAAACTCGCGCATCGCGCCACGCGACGCGCGTTTATCTTCGCGCCCTCGCACGGCACGCGCGAAGCGCGATGACCTGGCCCAGGACGAGACGCGCAGAGCGCGATGATCTTCGTGTCCTCACGGGCGACCTTGAGATGTCAATACCGGCTCGTCGCTGAAACTGAAGCCGCATCCGCAAGATGTCCGCTGCCACTGTCGCGCGACCCTGCCATCGAGACATTCCCATATCGAAGGCCGTGGTTGGAACACGCCGACCCCCGCTCGCCAGGGGTTTCATAAGCGTGTGGGACGATTGGTTGTCCCCCTCCCCCTTTCACATTCCCCTGGGCTCCGAAATCCTGTCAGCTCCTTTCCCTCCTCTTTTTCATTGGCAAAAGCACCAGAGCTACGAGGCCGCTCCCGGCCCCCAGCGGCGAGCGCAGCGGCGCGGCCGAAAACAAGGACAGGCAAAGAGAAGGAGTGGGAGGGCGGGACAAGCGGCCCCACCCTTCAGCCCCAAACAGCTGCAGGTAGGCGGCGCTCGCGCGAGGAGACACACGAGGAGGGCCAGCGGGGAGTCTAGCTTTGCTTCACCTTTGTGAACCCGAGTTAGATCCCGCTCCCTTCCCTCCTCTTCTTCATTGGCAAGGCACCACAGGTAAGAGGCCGCTCCCGTCCCCAATGCCGATGAAGGAAAAGGAGGAGCGGCGCAGGAGCGGGGCACTGCGGTGCCTCATTCTCGGGGCCAGAATCCGACGACACGCTGCGAAAGCGGGCCGGCGGCCACCTCGTCGCCCGACACGTACGGCCGGGCTGTCGCCACCGATCGCCAACCACCTCTTGCGAGCATGGCTTCCGCGCCCGACGCAGCGAAAACGTCCGCGGCCGCGCCCCGCCGGACGTCGTGGCCAAACCACTCTTCGGGGCTAGCGACCCCGACTGCGCGCAAATGGCTCTGGAGCTCGGCAGTCCATGTCTCAGGTGTGTATCCGCCAAGCGGGCGGCCCCCACTCCTGAGGAGCTCATCCCAAACGGGTAGCCACGTGCGTATGCAGATGCCCTCATCGGCTGGCCCCGCAAGTACAAAATGGAAGACATTCGATGCAAAGGTCGACCCGCTGCTTCCGGCGAATCGGGCCGTGCACAAACCGACCGCCCTGCACCTGCACGCGAGCGCGCGTGCACTGCGCAAACATCTCGGACGGCATCCGCAGCAGAAAATTATAAGCCAGCGGTGCAATGACGCACCACCACCTACGCTGGCGCGACAGCGCGAAGCGAAGCGACCGCCGCAACAGCAGTCGGTCTACGCGGTGCCGGGGTAGACTGTGGGCCCGGCCTTTGGCCGTGCCCTAACGAATCCCGCGCAAGATAACGTCCGGATCACCTTGCCAGGGAGAGCCGGCAACCTGGTGCGCCGGGGCCCACGCGCTCAGCCACCCACGCTGTGTCGACGCACGCGCACAAACTGCAGCAACTCTACGAACGTGCTGAACCGAGCACCTCAACGGGGGTTCCCCAAATAACTCGCTCGCCCACGCAACCATACGCAAGTGCGACGCGTATGTCCGCAGCGTGGACGGAAGTTTTTTGCACAAGAAGCTTTGCTGCACCACCGAGTCCGCGACGGACTGAAGGTTGACGCCGGCCGCGCGTGCCTCAGCCATGGCGGTCAACACCTGCCGCGGGGGCGCCCCGTCTGGGTGTTTCTGGCTGCACCCGCGGTCTCTGCTGAGTGCAACCATCATGTCCCAATTGCGCTTGTCCGTCGCTTGGGTAATCGAGTCGAGAACTCCCGGCAGCGGCAGGTAGGCGGCGCGCGCGCGAGGAGGCACGCGAGGAGGGCCAGCGGGGAGTCTAACCATGCTTCACCTTCGTGAATCCGAATTAAAGGAGGAGGGGCGGGAACTCGTCAACGCACTTCGTGGGCACTCGGAGCTTCGAAATCCACCCTCCGTGGCCTCCAAGATGCCCAGGATGCCATCTAAGATAACTCAAGAAGGGGCCAACACGACGGAGAGGCCTCAGGAACATCCAAGATTACCTCAAGACGGCCCAGAAGGCCCCGAGGACGCCCCAAGAGGGCCCCAAGAGGACCCTCAAGAGAGCTTCCAGAGGCAAACATCAAATTCCCCAAACAATGTTTGCATTCAAGGGTTCTCACTCTGCCTCGTTCGAGCAAGCTTTTGGTATTCAAGGGCTCCCAACTTCGCGCTTCGCGCTGCGCGAAGCGCGAAGTGCGAATAACTTCGCGCTCTCGCGCCGCCTCCCAGGGGAGAAGAGGACGATGAGGATCGGAGCCGAGCCGAACCGCGAAGCGCGAATAACTTCGCGCCCTCGAGGGCGCCCTTGGGTATTCCTGGTCTTCGCCGCGCTGCGGCCCGTGCCGCCTCGCAGGCGCCTCGTGGGCGGCCCCGCGCTTGGGAGGGGTATGCCGATGCTGCGCCGCGTCGCCGCACGTGCCGCCTCGTGGGCGCTCCGTGAGCTGCGGGGGTACACCCTGCGAAATGCTTAAGAAATCATGGGTTAAGAAATTCATAGTCTCAGAACTTGAATAAAAACCCAACATTTCCATTAAAATCTTAAGATTTACATTGGGACGTTAAGAATAATCGAGACTATGGCCGAAAACTTAAGTTTTCTTAAGCATCGCCTAAGGTGTACAGTCGAGGCGTTGACCTAAGGAACCCGAAATAAGGAGCGAGGCCCCTCTTTTCCATAAGCTAAACTTCCACTTCGCCTCGACAAGTGAAGGAAAACCTGGGCAAGGCGTGGACCAATCGAGGAACACCGAGCCCCTCCCCAACGCAAAGGGTTCCTTCCTCAAGACCCCTACCCATCGGTCGGAAGAAGCAGGTAGACACATGAAGTAGGAAGGCGCTGGAAACAGATTGGGTCTCCGCCCGCCTCCTGAAGAGGAGGGAAGAGGGAAAAACCCACTCGACTCTTGAAGTAGGAAGGCGCTCAGAGTAGATTGGAATCTGGGAATCCAAAAATACCTACTTTCAACGACCGATGGGTACTGCATGCCGACCTGCGCCACGCTGCCGCCCGGAGCCGCCCCGTGGGCGCCCCTTGGGCTGCAGGGGTCTGCCGGGGGGGCGCCGCGCTGCCGCCCCGGGCCGCCCCGTGGGCGCCTCGGCGCGTGGGGGGGGGCACGTCGACCCGGCGCCACGCTGCCGCCCGTGCCGCCCTCGTAGGCGCCTCGTGAGCGCCCCCCTCGTTGGGGGGGCCTGGCCATCGCTCGGACGTCCATGCCCAGTGTTTTTTCTCGGCGTCGTGCGTGGCTCTTTCGCCAGCTGATCAAGGATGCTCCTCGAGGGTCCTCGCCGAAGGAAAGATGCACACGTCCGACCGATGCCAAGGGGTATGCCGAGGTCGCGCCACGTTGCCGCACGTGCCGCCCCGTGGGCGCCCTGTGCTCTGAGCTTCAGCGGCACTATGTTTCATCACGTAGCTCGCACCGCATGCCCGACACAGCAGAGCTTGCATAACATAGCTTGCATCCCATAGCGTTCGCCTCCAGCTCACACCACCTGGTTTACACGACAAAACGTTCACCACACAGCGTGCACCGCGTAGCTTTCACCTCACCAGCTCACACCACATAGCTGTCACCACCCACAGTGCAATGACGCACTGTTTGAGGTCCAGGGTGGCTAGCATTGCTTTACACTTTGGGCTTGAATGTTGTTCGCTTTCTCGCCTTACGGGGCTTCTGAAAGCCCGAGACGGCCCGAAAGGCCCCCTAACCAGCCCAAGACATCTAGCTGTCCCCCCAAAGGACCCGGATACAGCCCAAGAGAGCCCCGAGACTTCCCCAGAGGCTCCCAGGACGGCCAAGAAATCCTTCAGAAGGTCCGCAAAAAGGACCGAAGAGAGGCCCAAGAGGAGGAACTCGTCTGGGCCCCGAGAGCCCTCCCCCACAAGATGGCCCCCAAGACTCCGTATACAGTAGAAGCTCGACCACGAGAAACCTTCCACAAGAAACCCAACCCTGAGACCCCAGGACGTCCATTGTCTTGTGGTGTGGGAGCGTCACGCTTTCCACAGCAAAACCATCGAAACACAAGAACCCAGGGCGCCCTGGAGACAAGCAGGGTGTCTCTTGGCATGGGCGTGCACTGTATATGCCACCAGGAGGCTCCCCAGAGGTCTCGAGAAGCCCCCCCCAAAGGCCCCCAACAAAACTCCCCAAAGGCTCCCTGGAGGCTGCCCCCGAAGGCCTTCGAGAGGCTCCCAAAGAAGCTCCGCCACAGACGCGGAGGAAGCAGAGGGCGGATCGGCAACAGCTACACGCAGTCAGCACAACGGGAAGCGGCATACAACCCAGACGAAATCTAAAGCCGCACGGATCGTCTTTGCTGGGTTGGCGTAGTGGCGTGGGCCTCTTGATGCTCGGTGCTCGACCGCGGACCAAGTCCCAGATGCATGCATTCGCAACTGGTGCCCAAAGAGCCATGCAAAACGCCAAACCTGCAAAACGCGTTTGGAGAAGGAAGAGGAGGAGTTGGAGTAGGAGTAGGAGTAGGAGGAGGAGGAGGAGGAGGAGGAGAAGGAGGAGGAGGAAGAGGAGGAGGAGGAGGAAGAGGAGGGAAGGAGGAGGGGAAATTGTTCACAGCGATACTCGCACTGACGTGCCCTTGGAAAATTTCGTACCCTTGCCACACTGCCCTGGGACGGGCTCCGGCGCGAAAGGTAAGGACGCGCGCGCCCGCAAGGGCACCCTTGGACCCCGGAGGCGAAAACCATGCCAAGGATGCTAGAAAAGAAGGATGCAAACATGCGTCGATTCAAGGGCCCATCCTTGAAACCAGTCTGAATGTGCTTGCGCTGGTACGTACAGGCGCCAACGTGCCTGCGCTGGTACATACACCGACGCGGAGG